TGGGCTCTCTCTGGTCCATTTGTCCTCAAACCCACCCTCATTGCACAACAATGTGTGCATGATTCAGGGCAGGAATGAGGYGGTGCAGGGTGGGTTGGGAGCAGGTGAGCCTTCCCCAACTGGCTCTGTGAGTGTATTTTTAGCCTCAATCTCTGCTCTGGCCCGTTAAAGCCACTATCTGAGCATCTTTCCATGTGCTGGGCCTGATAACATCTGTAMAAGGCAGAGGAATGGAAATGCTGTGGAACTTGCCCTGGGCCATGAAGGAAATCTGGATCACCACAAGGAATTGAGCTGGTCCCTAAGTCTAGCTCATCCATCTTCTCTGCCCCACAGACTTTCTCCAGTGCTTTAAATCCAGTTTTTCATCAGCTGCTGCAAATTGGGCTGAGTTCAGAGRAATCTGGTGAAATCCTATTTCAGATGGAGGAAAGGTGCTGGGTATAACTTTTAATGARCAGTGATAAATACTGGGTCCACAAGCATAATGAATATTGGTTAATTGTACAAGAATCAAGAAGTCTTAGAATCATGGAATGGTTTGGATTGAAAGGGATCTTCAAGATTGTCTCAGTAGCAGGGACACCTTCCACWAGACCAGGTCGCTCCAAGCCCCATCCRAACTCAAGAGTAGTTTAAAGTCCTCAATTTTAGGCCTTTTGAGATGTGTGGAGATGACAAAAGGATGGATGAAACTGCTCAAGAARCAACAATCATGGGCAAAATGCACCCAGTTTTGTTTTTTGAGATGGGTGTTGTGCTTGTGTGTCCTGCAGCAGATCTCAGGAGGTTTTATCAGCACCCAAAAAGTAAATTGTCCTTCAGGCAGGGCTGCATTGTTYTGAGGTGCAGATTTCTGTGCCAGCAGAGCATGTTGGTGACACGGAGTGCAGGGCAGAGCAGAGAGACCTGACCCAGCTTTGTAAGGGGTTWAAAGCAGGAGGGGGAACCGACCTTTCTGCCAATGTGCGGTCCCAGCCCTTGAGAAAACATCTCATTCTCTTCCTGGTCCTGCCCTGGCCCAGCCCAGGTTCTGATCCRCAGCTGAGTCATTCATCCGCCCCAGCTGGCCACCTCCTTGCCCTTCCCAGAATTTAGAGAGTTGTTGTTGAGGCTGCTCTGTGGATGACCTGGATGCAGAGGGAGATTTGGGGCTGTTCCAAGGGCTGTGCCAGGTGCCCGTCGATCCCACCAGTCACAGGGGGTTCCTGCCCAGTATTTCACCATCTCTGTGCCAGTCATGGCTTCTCCCAGCTGTATCTTCTCTAAACTTTTTCATCAAAAAAATCACAGAGTTCCACAATATCTGGAGTTGGAGCACCCCCCACCATGGACAGGGACAACTTCCACCATCCCAGATTGCTCCAAGCCCCATCCAGCCTGACTTTCAACACCTCCAGGGATGAGGCAGCCTCAGCTTCTCTGGGAATTCCATCCCAGCACTCACCACCCTCACAGGGAAGAATTCCTTCCCAATATCCCACCTAACCCTGCCCTTTATCAGTTTGGAGCCAATCCCCTCTTCCTGGCACTCCAGGTCATTGTTCAAAGTTCCTCTCCAGTTCTCCTAAGGCCCCTTTAGACCTTAAAAGCTCACAATAAGCTCACCCCAGAGCCTTTTCTTCTTCAGGCTGACCAATYCCAAATCTSTCTGCCTTTCYTTATGGGAGAGGTGCTCCATGCTACCCGAGAAACCTCCAAATACATCMACAGAGAGGATTTATCTCCAGGTAAATCCAGAGGACAATCACTCATTAGTCAATCCTGGACTCKTTCAGAGCAGGAATTGGGAGGAGAAATCATCACTTGAGCCTCTAAGTGATTAGACTTCAGGTCTCAACCTCCAGAGGTTGTGAAAGCCACCTCTTGGCTCTGGGAAGAAACTTCTCATTTCCATGCTCCGGGAAGTCAATGGCATTGCCATGGGACAAACATGTTAAAACTAGAGCTGATCAGCTCCCTTATCTTATTTTTGGAAAAAAAAAAATCCCAAAATTCCCATCCCTGGAAGTGTTCAAGGCCAGGCTGGATGGGAATCTGAGACACCTGGTTTAGGGGAAGGTGCCCCTGCCCACAGCATGGGGGTGGGGTGAYGGTCTTTAASGTCCCTTCCAACCCAAATCATTCCAGGATTTTTTGAATGTGTTTGCCCTCTCCAGAAGCTGGAAGAGGCTGTTCCACCCTCTGGAAATGTTTCACCCAATATCCTTTGGGGAATCCGATGGCTCTGGTGTCAACAGGCCTTGGCCAACTCCTGGTCCCCAGGAAGGTCCACTGTAGCTGAATTCCTTGTTGGGAAAGGCTACTGGATGTGGAAAATGCCTGGAAATTGTTTCAGAAAGTAGGCATGGGGCATTAGGGTATCAGGGACATTCCTGCAGCTCAAGGAGATGATTCTCTGGAATGGAGAGCTCATAGATCTGGTCACCCATGCAGAAAACATGGCTGGGAGACCCACAGGTGGATGAGCCCCTTTTCAGGGGTATGACTCAAGAGGTTTGGAAAAGCCAGAATATATCACTCCTCTTGTCCCATATTCTCCCTCCACCAATARCCAGATTTGACTCATCTAAACAAGGTGGTTCACCCTGGATTTTCCTCTGAGGAAACCCCTTCCCAGCTTCCTACAATTAGCAGCTGATTAATGCCTTGCATCCCAAGGATTTACGCACTTTTCTGTTTCACAACAGCAGACAGTGTCATTATCTCCTGACATCCCTTTGACTTCATCCCAAATAGGATTTTSACCCTTATCCCATAGCTGTGGGTCCCCCAAGTGACTCATCTCTGCTAAGTAAATGATTATTTGTTTACTTCAGTCTGCGGATGTGTCACTGAAACTTCGGGAAAAACAAAAACACTCCAACAACACTCCAGTGTTAGAAAGTCAAGGCATTACTTTATTTTCTGGCCAAGATGTGCCCCAGAAATAATTTCATTCACACATAGCCTGCATATGCAGAGAAAAGCATACCATGACATGTCGATTTTACAAGATTTTTCCCAAATTTTATGCAGTCAAAACCCATAGAACTTCATTGGTTCAATGTCCATTGGTCCAACGTTGTGTAGTTCTCACTATYTGGGTTCCTATTGGATCTGGACTTCTTCGCCTCTGATGCTAATTGGGTTCTCCTCCTTATCTCTCTTTTCCCCAGACTGGGTAATTCCGACCATGCCAGGAGAGACTTTTGGAGCTGATGTTCCATTACTGGTCCTTGATGGCCTTTAATGGTCACTGATGGTCACTGATGGTCCTTGATGGCCCATATCTTCTGTGCCACTCCTGGTCTGTTGAGATGTGAACCTCCTCAGGCCTCCTGTGGTGGGACAATGCCCTGGAAAGAAACTTCAACATCCTTCCCCCAGGGCAAAGGCCAACAAGATTTTTGACTGAAGTTACATAAAAATTTGTTCAAACCAGTATATTTTCCAACAGATGTGCCATTCTGTCCTCCATCCTAAGGATCCTACAGTTTCAGGAAGGTGTGGGAATGAAGCAGGGAAGGTGAGCTGTTCTTTTGTCCCACCTTTGTGCACAACACTCGGTCGCTAAGTCATGAATAAGTTCCCCTTCAGGTGAGATTTCTCCTGCCAGGTTTTCTTGGGGGATGTGCTCYGCAGAGTTGGTCATGAGCCAGAACCCCTCCAGCTTTGGAGGCCCRGTTTCTGTTCTASYCTGCCATGGCACTTTCCAGCACRTACAGAATCCCAGAATCCCAGAATTATTAGGGTTGGAAAAGACATCCAGGATCASTGAATMCAACYTGTGACCAACCCCCACCTTGTCACCCAGCCCAGAGTGCTGAGGGCCACTGAATCCAGTTGTTCTTGAACACTTCTGGGAATGGGGACTCCACCACCTCTCTGGACAACCCCTTCCAATGCCTGACCACCCTTTCCATGGGGAAACACCTCCTGATGTCCAGCCTGAACCTTCCCTGGTGCAACTTGGGGCTGTTTCCTCTCATCCTGTCCTTGTTCCGTGGGAGCAGAGCTCCACCCACCTGGTTGCCCCCTCCTGTCAGGGAGCTGTGCAAAGACAGAAGGTCCTCCCTGAGCCTTCTTTTCTCCAGGCTGAGCCTCCCCAGCTCCCTCAGCTGCTCCTGGTGCTCCAGACCCTTCCCCTGATCTGTTCCCTTCCCTGGACTCATTCCAGCCCCTCCATGTCTTTCCTGTTGTGAAGGGACAGAACTGGACACAGGAACTGAGGTGTGGCCTCAGCAGTGCCCGGCACAGAGGGACAATCCCTGCCCTGTCCTGCTGGCCACACCATGGCTGGTACAAGCCAGGTGCCACCGGCCTTCTTGGCCACCTGAGCACACCTGGGCTTGTGTTCAGCCACAGTGGGCCAGCATCCAGAGGTCCTTTGCTGCTGGGCAGTTTTCCAGCCACTTTTCCCCTAAACTAGAGAGCTGCAGGGTGGTGTTGTGACTCATGCGCAGGAGCTAATGCTTGGCCTTATTGAACCTCATCCATTTACCTCGGACCATGGATCCAGTGCCCAGATCCCTCTGCAGAGCCTTTCTTCTCCTCAGTAGATCAACATCCCACCCAACTTGGTGTCATCTGTGAACTTCCTGAGRGTGCCCTTGATCTCCTCATTCAGATCATCAATAAAGATATTGGACTGATYCCAGGGGGACACTACTGGTGTCCCAGCCAGCAGCTGGATGTGGCACCATTCCCCACCACTCTCTTTTCCTGGAATCCAGCCCGTTTTTAACTCAGCCAAGAGTGAACCTTCCCAAGCCAGGGGCTGCCAGCTTTTCCAGCAGAACATCATGRGAAACAGCATCAAAGGCTTCACTGAAGTCCAGGTAGACGCATCCACAGCCTTTTCCTTACCCACTGGGTGGGTTCTGATCATAAAAGAGACATCAGGTCACACTGGACAGCAGTGACATTGGCCAGTCACACAACACCCACCTGCAGCTCTGCTGTGGACAGAAACAGGTGACTGAGTGATGTTCACATGACACACTCACTGTTGGTGGAGAAATAACTTTATTTGAGGTGTTTTGCAGATAACATGAACACAGATTTCCTTATCTGGTAGCACTGGAGCTTTKCAATGAGATTAAAGCAGAAGCCATCATACGGCACCGAGCTGCCATCAGCTCCCAGGGTGCTGGGTGACCAACACACCCCCAGCTCCTCTTTACAATTCCTGTTATTAGAAGGGTGCTCTGAGGTTTTCTGTGGTCATGGGAGGCCTCTTTACTCCTCACAATTTGTTGCTGAGGACGGTCCAGAGCACTCCGGCCGCTATCCCTCCGGCCATCCCGTAGCTGGACCTCACGTTGCCCGCGGCGTTGACGTTGCAGAGGTCRCTGCTGCAGCAGGAGACGTTCCTGTTGCCCACGTTGAAGTCCTGGTAGGATGCATCACATGAGGAGTCGCATCCCTTGCTGATGATGCTGAAGAGACCCACAACCCCTGGGAGGAAAGCAGCAAAKATATTATTACAAGGAACAAGCCGAGCCTAGTGGAACTGAATAATGGGATGCTGTTCTTATCTGAGCTCATTCCTTGGGAGAAAAATCAGGGAATCACAGAATCGTTTGAGTTGGRAGGGACTTTMAAAATCAYGTCATGGCCAGGGACACCMTCCACTATCCCAGGTTGCTCCAAACCCTGTCTAACCTGGYCTTGGACRCTTCCAGGGATGGGACAGCTTCTCTGGGACTCACCATGCACAAAGAGAGGAATTTCTTCCCAACATCTCATCTAACCCTGCCCTCTGTCACTGTGATCCACTCACTCCAATCCCAAACATCTTCATTGCATGGAGCCTTTCAGCACCCAGGAAGTTATGGAAATGTGCCCCTCCCCATTTCAGTGGCAGAGTTGTTGTTTTATTTGTTTCTGGGAGGCACAGCCCATTTTTTTGGCCTTTTGTTTTTTGTCTGTTTACCAGCAGATTTTGACYTCCAGGAGATCTGATCCCATAAAATTAATGTTGGACACCCAATCTTTGTTTTGTGCAAAAAAATAACAAATAGTTCTACAACATATGGGCTGTCCTGCATGTGAATGTCATGGATTTGAACATTCCAAGGATAATTCCTACTGGAGGAATTACATCTACAGCCTGACAGAGAGGAGCCTGAATCTGATGGGTTTTGTGTCCCTGGTCTAAGAGCAACTGTGCTGTCAGCACAGATCTGGACAGGGCAAAACAGACCTAAAATGGGAGGATAAAATCATAATTTTTCAATGATGAAATTCTGTCCTTTTCATTKAATTCACCTCAAATGAGCTCCTCCTAATCTTATGACTAGGTTGGACTGTGGTTGACTCATCCAATTTTAATTAACGTTTGTAAATATTTCAAAAAATTAACCATTGCCCTCTCAAGAAAATAATTTTTGGTGCTGTGACAGAGAAATAAACCTCRTTTTGTGAGCCTGGATGGGGCACCCAAGGGTGGGAAGATGTTTTTTTTGGGTCCAACATCCCGACTAAGCCACTGTCCACCCCCGCCATTCCTTACGGATCACATCCGTCTTGCACATGTCCTTCTCGCCACACTCCGTCTTCGTCATGCACTTGGAGTTGCTGAGTTGGGATTTGCAGCTGTAGCACTGCAAAGATGAACCTGCAGGAGAYCAACATGGGTTAGGAGAGAAATAATGGAATTGTGGATTGGTTTGGGTTGGAATGAACCTTTWAAATCATCCAGTTTTACCCTTCTGTTGCGGGAAGGGATAACTTCTGCTTGATTGGGTTGATTCAAGCCCCATCCAACGTGGTCTTGAAAGGATGGGGCAGCCCCAGCTTCTCTGGGAATTCTATTCCAGGTCCTCACCACTCTCCCAGGGAAGAATTCCCTCCCAATATACCATCTATCCCTGCCCTCTGGCAGTGAGAAGCCATTCCCTGTGTCCTGTCACTCCATCCCTTGTCTCCAGTCCCTCTCCAGCTCTCCTGGAGCCCCTTTAGGCTCTGAAAGTGGCTCTGAGGTTTCCCTGGATCCTTCCCTTCTCCAGGCTGGACATTCCAGCTCTCCCAGCCTGTCTCCAGCTCCAGCCCTTGGAGCTTCTCTGTGGCCTCCTCTGGACTCTCTCCAGCAGCTCCATGTCCCTCTGCTGTTGATCCCCAGAGCTGGAGGCAGCTCTGCAGGTGGAGATCCATTCTATACCTCCCCTGTATCTTCAATTTCTCTGAAGTTCTCCAGGGAACTCAGCCAAGTGCTTACAATAGAAAACAGAACCATTCCCAGGGATCCTCAAAGGCAGATTTCACCTCTACTCTGAAGAAAAGAAGGATTTTTCCTTTATTTTTGTGGAATATAATACACCTGCTGGAGGTGAGAGTCAGGTTTTGCACGTGCTGAAGATATTTTGAATACAGTCTTTGCAGTGAGGGAACAAAAAGAGACCGGATAGGCTTGAAGAGAACCATGGAATGGTTTGGGTTGGACAGGATTTAAAGATCATCTAATCAGGGACACATCCCTCTAGATCAGGTTTTCCCAAGCCCCTTCTGTTGCTCTAAGATTTTTAGCTTCTATCAGCTTYGACCTGAGGGATGGAGCAGGAATTTGAAAAGTCTCTTCCAGTTTTCTCAGTTCTCAGCTCATGACTCTCCCTCTCCTAAAAAGCAAAGTTCAACTACAGCTTTGACCCCTCTCTGACCACTGGGTCACCCCCTGTTCCCACCCCTCCTGGACTTGCCATTTCACAGGGGATGGAAATCTGTGTTGGCAGCACCTGCTGGGCTGCTGTGTGATTCCAGCAAAGGCAGGATAAACCTGTCACCTCCCAAGTGTCCAGCTCTGGTGAAAAACTGTCCCTAGAGGAGTGAGATCAGGGTGTAATTACCTGTTCCTGTCATCTGCTTGTGCCCCAGGGTGTCACTGGAGCCTTGCAAGTTTGATTTGATATTAGTATATTTATATTTATATTTATATTTATATTTATATTTATATTTATATTTATATTTATATTTATATTTACATTTACATTTACATTTACATTTATATTTATATTTATATTTTCTTTGCCCCATGACCACCAAACTTGTATCACGAATTCCCCAATTCAATAACCTAATACCTAAAATACTGTTTTAGGACACTGAAGACCCTTATTTAGAAATCAGTGATGGAAAGAATTAATTCAAGATACTCGGTCCCCCTCTGTCTGAGCCACCCCGGGGTAAATGACTGATGCAGGCACAGAGGTGAGCAGCCAGTCCCCAGTTTGTCTGAGTGCTGCCCTCTGCTCTCWCATTGATATGACTTTTAATGCCAGAAAAATCAAATTTTGAGCACTCTGGTGGAAGCTGACAGAAGAAAGGTCTGAGGACTGTGCAAGAGTCTTCTCAGCTTATTCCTTCAGCATCATCTGGTGATTGGGAAACTGCTCAAATTAGATTCTTCTCCTCTCTGGTAATAGGAGAAAGCTGCTTTAACCCCCTTTTTTTTTATTTTTATTTTTTAATTTTTATTCCTGTGAGTCAATAAAAACCTGACAGTGCTTAAAACCCACCCATCCAGTGTATGGAATAATCATGGCATTGTGCTTTTTACTCTCTAAAATTCTAAGAATCTGGGCAGCATCAGGGTGCACTTTTGAAAGGAAGAGTCAGAAAATAAGTTGTAGGAAAACTTAACTTTGCACGAATTTAATGGCCTGGGGAAAAGCAAAATAATCCTCCCACCCTACTCAACCCTTCCTTTTCTTCCTTAACTGTATGGTCTGAACTTAAAAAACTTGGATTTTGGATTAATCCAGGATTCAGGATTTATCTTTCCTGGAAGCTGCTCTCCCACCATGAGGATCCCACCATCCCCAGGGTGACACTGTCCATTTTTTCCACTCAACTCCCATCCAAACCCAAACACCTTGGGATGACCACGTGCCAACATCTCTTCCCTCACTGCCAAACCCCATTACGAGCCCTGAAGATCTCCTTGAAGGGCTGTGGGTTGGATTCTTTGTGGGGTCTTACCTGAGTCCACGCACAGGAGTGCTCCCAGCAGGAGCACGAGAAAAGCCTTCATCTTGGAAGAACCTCTGTGGGGCTGTCTCTGGGTTTCTCTCTCCTGGGGCAGGTTATATATCCTGGGAGGCCGGGCGTGCCCACGGGGCCATCCCTGAGAAGGCACCTGAGGGAGCTGCTGCCTGCACCGAGGGAGGGGTTGCTTTGTGCGGGGATTTTTGTKTTTGCTGCCTCTCCTGTTTCCCTGYCGCTCTCCGGGCTCCCCTCCACCGCTGCCACCCCCGCCTTCCCTCCTACCCTTGGGCAAAGTGCTCACAGGAGTGGAAAAAAAAGCCCCAAATTCTTCCCAACAAGGCC